GCGGACGCCAGTCGCAATACTGACGCGCCCAGGGAATAGCTGACGCGGATGCATTTTTACAAACTGTACTGACGCGAACTATCGCGGCTTTATTTCAGGCTATTAAACCTCATTTCACTGACGCGGCCACAATGGGAGCCGTTTTTGAAGCAGATGCAAAGCTAAGCAATCTGCTGTCGCAAAGACTACCGCCGTGGGAATATTCACATTTTACTGACGCGAACTATCGCGCACACNNGCTGACGCGGCCAATCATTACTTTCATGTTTATATAACATCCCACAAGGGGGGTTTTGGCCGCTGCTCGAGTCGTGTTCCGCAATGTACCTACCTGGCTCAAAACTTTAAGAAAGCTAGGGGTCACAACACAGGGGGGCTGACATATTTGTCCACTGTCATGTGATTTCTTGCGAACTCCATCCATGTCATTCCAGTTGTGAGTCCTTCTTGAATAACATCTAGGAGTTCCTTTCCATGATTCTTTCTCTCGTTCTTTATATCATCAAGTTATTTACTATCCTAGGGCCCAAGCCCAACCCCAACGCAGGGGAGAGGGCCAAGGTGTGACCATTTATGGGGAGGACAAGGACATCGCTGGGCTACTTACCACGAGATCTTACAGGGATTACCTTGAGAAAGTGTCCGTGAAGTTTTTCAGAGATGGCTATATCATTTCTGGGGAGTTCCTGCCTGTTGTAGCAAGTACATGGCTCATCAGAGGTTTGTAAGGAAGACATGGCTGCTTGCGGATAAGCTGCTTGCTGGCAGGCAGAGGCGTGGCAATGTCCTTGGGGTCAATCTTCACCTCAGCAGTTGGGTCACAAGATGGAAGGCCCTTAGGAACCTTAGCGATATCTAGGGAGTACCATGTAACTTTGGGGCTCCCTGTAAGGGATTGACAACGGATAGTTTCGAGGAAAACTGCGGCATCAAGTTGATCTGCCATACTTTGCAAAAAGACTCAGAAGATCCATCTAGTCTTTACTTGAAGGCTCATAGGTAGATCATTTCCATAAATCAAGATAAACTTGCTATTATCCTAACTAGAACGCCACTTAGAACTATCCATGGCCCCTCAAGGACAATTGGTGGAGTCCCATGGATAAGGGAACATCTAGACACTCAATTTCCCCACAAAAGCCTAAACCCTAGACCCAAGGTACTAATAAGTTAAAGCTAAACCATGGACTTCCCTAAAGCACTGCATCATGTGGGAGCATATGTGAGAGAAAAAAAGAATCCGAGGAGGAGGGCTCCCTATACAAGCTCGTTCTGGGAGAGACCCTAAACCCGAAACCCTGAAACCCATGTTGCAGGCCAAAGCACAGGCTTGTCCGGCTCAATCCGCACGTAAAACTTCCTGAAAAGAGGAGGTTGGCTCAACTCAACACCATCGCTGTGTAATCCCCTGATTAGATCCTTAGGATACCTAACAGTATCATGTCAAGAAAGCTTTCCGTAAAGTTGAACATGAGCTGAAGTCTTAACTCCTAGCATCCCCCTCAATAAGCCCTATAATACTCCACTATATATTAATCCTCGAAATAACCCCCTCTAAGGAGTTTAGATTATGGCTCATATGGTCAGCCCAGGATCCGAAGCATAATGCTCAGGAGTGTTTTTGCTTGCGTGATCGCGAAGAGGTTGCCTGAACAGTTGGTGCTGCAGATTCTCCATCGAGATTGTGGGTGTAGGCTTTAGAGAAGGATTGTTGAGGAAATATACGACCTCAGACTCAAACACCCTAAATCCCGAGACGGCCTATGCACAAACGCCTTCCGCCACCAAACGGAATGAACTGGAAGGGATGGAATTTGGCCAACTTCTCCTTAGCAGGATGCAAGGTAGCTTGATGGAGGCAAAACGCTCTACAAAACTCTGCGAGCATGCTGCGGGTTCAAATCGCTCTGGAATGAACTCCTTGTGGTTTTCTCCCCAATACTTCTTGCCTCAGTCACGAGACTGACATCGGCTGGTGCTTGAGGTGGTTCCCTGTGTTTTGCATCTTGGGGCTGCCAAGGTGCTCAGGGAAATGCCCATGATGTGTATGGCCTTATCTTCTCGCGCAGCTGCACGCAGGGACTGATATCTTGATCCTCAATGGATTGCTAAGGTTCCAGCAATCCAGGAGTTGCCTGCGCGCATTTGGCGCTTTGCGTCATGCATCCAGCAAGGCAAACCAAGACAGCGCAGCCTCTTCCGCTGTGGCCACCAGGAAGGAGAGTATATTCCCCACACTGCACTGGCTGGGTCAGGCCGCGCTGTGCGACCTGCCATGGGAGCAGCTCTCTGCATCGTGATGCTGGCGAATTCTTGCCGAGCAGTTAACATGTCATGCGGGACGGTGCCTGCACTGGAGCACACAAGCGCAATGTCTCCCGCACGACCATATCCATGTACTTCAAGCGCCTGCATTTCCATTGTGGAATCAGGACGCCAAATGAAAGCGAAGTGCATCATCACTACTATTACTACTATTTCAATTATCTTTATTGTTACCATTGTTATTATTATTACCAGTATTGCTATTCTTACTATTGTTACTAATATTACCATTATGAGCATAATGACTATTATTACTATGATGGCGATCATTTTGATTACTTGTATTACTATTTCTGTTACTATTACAGTTATCCTTATCATTACTCTTGCGATTATTATACTTAATGCTATCATTATTACTATTACTATGGTCACGCCTCAGGTCCTCTCCTGTGGGCAGCCGGTTCATATCGCCCGCGAAGACCTGGCGCAGCTCGGAGAAGAGCTTCCTCAGCGGTTTAGGGTCTAGGATTTAGGATTTAGGATTTGGGGTTTGGCTTTTTGCAGAGCTTTCCTGACTTTACAATATTTTCATGGTTAATAGTAACATTGTTTGAATATTATTGTTGCTACTATTGCTGCTTTTAGTCTTACTAATAGCATAATTATTCTTATTGTGGCTGTTACTGTTACTGTTGCTGTCATTTTGCTTCAACATCATTACTACTATTAAAGGCTAGAGCTCCGGATCTCTGCAGCTTGGGCTCTTCTCCACGTGCGGACTGCGTGCAGTGTAGTACAAGGACCAGGTGAGAAGCAAGGTGGTCGTCTTGTGCCCAGCAACTAACCTTGCAAATGGGGGGTTTCCTAAAATGAGGTGTACCTTTCTTGGGGGCCCCATATTAAAGACTAGAGTATATTGGGGTCTACATTAGGGTCCCCCTATTTCGGGAAACTACCAAATGTCCTGGTTCCAAGTTCCAAGAGTACCGACATGCCAGATCCCTAAACCCTAAACCGTAAATAGTAATTTCCATTTTCTTTTCCATTATCCCAATATAACCCAAATAGATCCCTACTCTATATATATATATACCCTATTATAATAGTTTCCGTTTTCTTTTTTGTTATCCCTATATAACACCAATATATCCCATATACATGTGTATATATATATATACCCTACTAGCCTATTATAGTAGTTTTCATTTCTTTCCATTATCCCTATATATTTGGTAGTAGTTTCCATTGTATTTTCCCTCATCCCAATATGTTACCCCAATATACTCTATAATTCCTATATGACCATTTGTGATGCCCTAAACCCTACACCCTAAATAGTAGTTTCCATTTGCTTTTCCATTCTCTCTATGATGATGCCGCCAAAGCACATGGTCAACAGCTGGTCCTGGAGCTCCGACTGTGTGAAGCTGCGACCCGTCAGCGGACACTTTGCCGCAATCAGGGCATGCAGCCTTGCAAATGACTACTAATAGTATATTGGGGCTATACTGGAGTTGTATTGGGGTTGAATTAGGGATATATTGGGGTTATATGCGGATAATGGGAAAGAAAATGGAAACTAGGGCAAACTCTTGCCCCTCAAGCGCTTTCATGCTTTCCTGCCGCCTGCGCGGACCTTCAGTGACTTTGCTGAGGCCGCAGCAAGCTGTTGGTGGATCCTGTGCTTCGGCCTTCCCTTAGCACAGGAGCATTCAGCTGATGATATCAGGTGATGAGACGAGAATCCTTCCAGGCCTGCAAGCCTCGATGATCTCATCAAGCATCCCATTCAGCTTGTCAAGTTGACTGCACGGAGCACGCAACATTTTCCAGGAGACTGAAGAGGCAACTGGAGGGCAATGCACGGAGATCCTACGCATGCAGCCTCTTGAACCAACGCGTCCGCGAGCCCGTGATGTCCTGAGCACTGTTGTCGCATACCATGCTAAAGCAGAGCTACATTGAGCTGCAAAAAAGAAGAGACACAGCTGAGCGGCGAAGGCACCATACAGGCTGGAGTTGATGCCTCGGCGTTTTCGCTTCGCCATGCTTTACATGCACAGCTGCTTGCTCTTTTCACATCACTCAGACGTTTGCTCACTTCGAGAACCTCCTCGAACAGCGGAAGAAGCGGCGGCATCTCCTAGAAAACACGTGGACTTGCCGCACGTCCCTTTTCTTCTTACTCAAGGAGCACTGGAGCGCACAAAAGTACCCGTTACTGGCCAAGCTTCAGCTGAGTCCATGCACTTGAGATCGTGCCCAAAGCCAACATCACATATTGTGTCCATGGTGACGCGCTCGATCCAATTCTGAGTCGCAAATGCATCTCAAGCAGCATGGATAGGTGCAAGAAGTGCAAGATCTCAACCATGTGGGCAGAAACCTCCAACTAGTCGCGGCAAAGTTTCGAAAATGTCGATTGCGGCCGTGGAGTCAGCGATTACCCCCTGCAAGACTGTCGTGATCGTTACCGTACTGACCTCCATTTAACTGATGCTTCCCATGTGGACTTGCTACCTGGAGTGGTACAAGGAAGCTATCTAAACATGGAGCAACGCCATGAGCATCTTTGAGATGACCACTAGGAGCTGCTAAGCAAATTAGGCCAGTTTGACAAAAGAGCAAATGAAACATCATGTTCCTAGGTACCAGAATCCTTCTTACAGTGACCAATGGGGACATTGCGGTCACTTTACCCAAATAGTCCAGGTTGAAGCATTACATAAGCTTTCAAGCACTTGCCGGGATGTTGTACATCATCTCTCTCAACCCTTATGTAAACCAGTTGCCATTTCACGTTCAAGTTGTTGTTCGTTTCAATCTATACTATAGTAGCCTCCATTTTCTTTTCCATTGTCCCTATATTAAATCTGACACCGAGATACTACAGCAGCTTCCATTTTTCCATTATCCCAATGAAACCCCAATAATATACCATAGTTGCTTCCATGTTCTTTTCCCTTAGCCCTGCATGACACCAATATACAATAGTAGCTTCCATTTTCCTTTCCATTGTCCCTATATAACCCCAATATATACCCCCCATATATACCCTATAATCCGTATATAACCCCTATATAACCCCCTATATACCCCCTATAGTCCCAGTAGCTTCCATTTTCTCTTCCATTATCCCTATATAAAAATGATCTTAGCCCCCTGTTCCTGGCCTGGAGCTTGGACGCGCGCGCAGCAAAGATTGGAACCAGCTTGTCGATGGCCTCCGGAGTCAGCTGGGCCTGGCAGAAGATTAGTTATATAGGGGTTATATAGGAATAATGGAAAAGAACATGGAAACTACTATTCAGTGTGAAATCTAGAATGGAGAATCAAATTGAAAAGAAAACGTACGCCAACGAATACTTATTGTGGAGCATGTCCTTTGACATCTGCCGATACAAGACCAATACACCACTCAGGGTTAAGAGCTTATTGCAGCAGATTCCAAAATCTCTTAAGTACTTCTCTGGCAATGACGTCTCCTGGGCTCCTCTTTCACCGCCACCCGTAACTCCCCCTCCGATTCCTACGTTGCCTCTGGCTGAACTAACCGATACTTTTCCTCAACAACCAAATCGGTAAAAAACCTTGGGGAGTAGTAGAGAGAAGGTTGCCAGGGAAAATCCAAACCCTCAAACCTAAACCCTAAACCTCAGATGAACCGCACGCAAGGGAATAAGCCTGGAAGGCATGGCGAGCAAACCTTAGCTTAGCAGAAAAGCGGTGAGAAGGGGTACCCTTCAAAGGAGGATATGGGGGTTGTATCGGGTTATATAGGGTTATAGTGGGTTATGAAGAGTTATGTTGTGTTATATAGGGCTTATATAGGGTTTGGGCTTTGGGATTAGGGATGGCGCATCTCAAAATACCAGCGTTAGATATAACAGAAACTATGAATCATGAGAAACCATAGGATACTCTAGCCAGCAGGAAGACAAGCAGGTGCCCGAGGAAACTTTGCCTTGTAAGGATAAGCGACGGGGACCAGCTTGGGATTTTTGTCAACTTTTGTGGCTCTAGGGGCCATGTACGTTTACAAAGGGCTTATATAGGGTTTCATGGGAGATAGAATGATGAGGGAAAGCATACTGTAAACTACAATAATGGAAAATTAAAAATTGAAAATTGAAACAAACTGGGCTACAAACGGATTTTCAGGGATTCTGTGAACAGTTTTGAGCCTTACGACCAGTCAATGTCCCCACCTGGCTTGGACAAGCGCCAAACTTTGTAGGTAAGTCGGACGTGGGGGGTTCGGGTTTAGGGTTTAGGGTACTAGGGCACATTCAAGGCATATGGTCTGGATGTCAGTTCGATCTCCTCATGAACTCTGAAGACCGGCCCAAATGCCGAGAACTCTTTCACCGCAGACACCCTTAATCCCAAACCAAAACCATTGGTTTATACTATCCCTATATGATTCCTACATCACCCCATATGTGCCTGTATAATCCCTATATAAACCCCAAAGACCCCTGCATGATCCTGATATACAACCCCATATACACCAAGAGGCTCCCAGCGCTGGCCATCTGCGATGAAGACGCCTTGCCCTGCCATCAACGCGTTTCGTGTAAAGTGCTTGTAGGGATCAGATAAGGTAATGGACAGGAGAATAGGAACTAAGATTTGGATTTTTTGGAGTTTCAGTGTGTTTAATGGTACTAATTTAGTTTAGGGCTCAGCCGCCGGCCGCTGCGATGAGAGCGGTGGAGAGGGGGGGCAGCTAGGAAGGTAGTACAAGGTCGTAGCTGCTTGTTTGGTAGCCCGACACCTGACGAGACACTACCAGCGGCCGTACAAGTCCGCGGAGAAAAGATAACGCTATCATAATAAGAATAACAATAATACTAGAAATAGCACAAATAATAACAATAATAACAATACTAATAAGTGTAGGGCTCAGGGGACATCTCGTTTTCATGCCACAATATGGGCTTCTCAAAACGATGGGTCCCCCAACTATTTGAATGGTTCCTGTAACCCACAAACTGCTATTACGGGGATGGCACAGGGTTTTGAAGCGTCCCGTAGGCTCTGGGGTGTTTGAGGTCCAGAGTTTAGGCTTCTCTTAAATGAGGCCGAAGCAACGTAATCATTGCAGGCATCTCACAGGCCTGCCAACGCGGGGCATCCAAAGACCTAGGGCAGGATTCCGCTCGAGCTTTGGCCCAAGACCCTAAGCACCCTGCAGCAGCTAGCGTGCGGGGCTTGCTGTCAGCGTTACGGTTTTTCTGGTAAAAGGTTCAGCAAAGGATGATGCTCCGATGATCGAGGGGACGCCAAATCTTCCATGGCATCGAGACTGGGGGCTCATCGTGACTCATCGTTCGTCCGAGCGACCTCTCGGGGAAGTCGCTTGTCCGGGATCTGGTTCACAATGTCAACGATCTCCGGATCTGCAACAACCTTGCATCAACCATGCCTGAACATGCTCAAACAAATCACATAGCCACCCATGCCCCAACTAAATTCTAGATTTGTCAGGCACGGAACATACACTACATCATCGAAGATCCGCAACTTGATCAAAGGTCCATACCTGAAGGCACAGATGGAAGACAGAATGCTTGGTCCCAAAAAATAAGCTGCACAGGATACTAGCTTCGGCCTCTCGCACAAGGGAAAGCACTGAATCCACAGGTCTGGAAGGCCTGGGCAGAAGTACAGGAGTGGCAACACACTCGCTCAAGCCCAGTGGGCAGGTTTGGGGACAGGTCAACAGACTGGTAAGTAGTTCAGTGACGGTTTTTCCATGTACTATGCCTGTTACTATTCCTATTCCTATTACAATTACTCTTCCTACTACTATTACTATTAACTAGTACTTCCTGTATCTTTCTGAGAACAGCTGGAACCGAACGCTTGTTTCAATCCAGGTGCAGTCTTTCAGATTGCCCGATGTTGGCAGCGGGATCCTCGGCAGTTGGAGCTGGTACCCCAAATCACTACATGATGGGACTGGTGCCTTAGAGGAGGCCTATATCAACCTTGTAAAGCCCCATTACAAACCTGATATATATATATATGGGGGTACACACCTGATAACTACTGTACCCACCTGAGGGTGTTCTGAACAAGTGTCCAGGTACATGGCATCAGCTAATCAAAATGCCATCAAGTAGCGGCTGCGGAGGGTGCACCACAGCCCTGCGCTTCACGAAGTGGGATTTGTGGCCCTAGGGGTGTAAAGGAACAGTGGAGACTCCAATGGAAAAGCAAATGGAAAATGTCATGGAAACTGCAACGACACGCGGGTTTATACAAATTTTAACCCGCAACAGGATCGTGCACCTTGCTGCACGGGAGCCGGCCAGGCTGCGCCAGAGGGGACCTTATATAAGGGATTATGTAAAGGCCATACAGGCGTGATATAGGGTTGGCATAGGGGGTGATACCGGGGTGACATAACGGGCTATATAGGGATTATATGTGGAGCTATTTGGGGGGGGTTATATGGGAGCTAGCGATGTAAGCCCCAAGACCCGATGCCCACACACCACATGGTGGTTTTCAAAAAAGTTGGGGGCTGTTTTTGGTAGTCTGCAGAAAAAGGATTTTCTTTTTTGCAGGGCAGGGGCACCCTTACTTTTGGACACTCGCAAACACTCCCAAATAACAGCGGCATGTCTCAGGAAATCGTTAGCAATCTGGCTTCTTTTCTGCCTAGCTGCGAATAAGGAGATCTCCAAAGCGGTAGTGAGCATGGTTGCTGCCCCACCTGAGGTGTCGAAAAGCATCATAAGCGCACCGCTGGGTACAGCCAAGCACGAACAGTGATAATTGCAAACAACGAATAGTAATCAGCATCACCATCCTTCTGAACTGCCATGGCGGCAAGAATGGGGTGAAAACAGCTCACATATCAGATACACATGGCAGCATGAAGAATCAGGCTACCATTCACAACCCAAGTTTGAAGAAGCATAAGAAAATCGTGGCAGCAGCAGTCATGGATAGCTTTAGCAGCAAGGATTCCGTACTCTTGCTGCTACTCCTTCCATCTGACCATCTGCCTATTTATACTAATCACGTTCCCCAGATATTAACCAGCTGAACTCTTAATATGCCTCTCCCCATGTGCTTGGGCTCTACCTTGAGCATCTGACATTGATGGGGGATGTTTCATTTCACAAGAAGGGATTACAAGGTAAAGAGGATTTGCTTGTGCCTACATAAATTTGTGTGAATGCGTCTGTAGTAGTTCCATGCATGGCCTGCAGCATAACCCCTAAAAGCCCCTGTGCCCCAGTCTCCCCTTCCAAACAATGGCCTAAGCCCTCAGTTTCCGCTTCGTGTCCAGTTCTTCACTCCCGATTGAGAATTAATGTTGAGCGTAACTCAGAACAGTTCATTCTCCATTATTGGGGTATTTTCCTTAAACCCTAAATAACCCCTACATCACCCGCTATAAACCCCGAATAACGCCTCTAGAATCCCATCTACCGAGCCGCTTCCACTTGAAGTTGCTACCGTCAGTGCTGACAAGCTCAAGGTCGATCGAGAGCCCCGGGTTCTCAGAGCTTACCTTGGCCTGGCATGGGATTAGGGTTTAGGGTTTAGGTTGTAGGGTGTTTAGGGTCTAGGTTGCTTAGGGTTTAGGTTGCTTAGGGTTTAGGGTGTTGTGTTTCGGGTTTAGGGTGTTTAAGGAGCTTATGGGTGTTTAGGGTGTTTAGGGCTTAGGGTGTGCAGGGCTTGTTTGAGCTTGCCTTGCCCTGGCATGGCAGCATGAGGTTGGGGCAGTTGGACTATATATATATATGTAGGAATAAATTAAAGTCTATAATTACATGGGAGATAATCCAAGGGTTGCATAGGAGTTAGGGATGCTACCCCAACAGAGGCAATGGACAATGAAATGGAAACCAGCTTCATATGGTGGCTCATTCTGTAGGGCTACGCTGTAACAAGCAATGACCCCACTTTAACCAGAACTTCAGGATGGCAAAAAGTGGTGATGGGGGCAGAACAGGCAAGTCAGCATGCTGCAGTGAGAAGACCCATGGTACTTTCCGAAAATTGGGGGGGGTACCTTTTGGGGTCTTTCTTGGGGTCCCCTCATTTAGGGAAACTACCAAATGGTCTCGAGATAGACAAAAATTACCTTGAAAACTTTTAACAACTTTAGCTCGCTCGTCTTTAGTGAGCGTGCATGCTGGCAATTAATGCATTCTCCCAACTGTTTTCGATGTGCCTTCTTCTGACCTCCCTCCTGTAGGCTTCTGTCGTAGATGCTCTGCACGTCCTTGAGCCCTAGAATCTCTTGCCCGTCCTGACAGAAGATCGCAAGCGTGCATGCCAAGGACACCTGGCTCAATCCAGATAGACTTTTTACATGTACGACCCACACCAGTCCTCTGAAAACAGACGACGGGTTGGATTGCCAGTGCATTCCTTCTTCAGCAGAAACATTGACACTGCTGAAGTCATGTAAGCGAAGTGGCCGCTTCACACTCTAAATCTGACTTGGCCCGATAAGGCAAGCAACGGCCGCGCGAGCCAAGAGCTTTGGGAGAGATATCTCCTTCCAGCTCGCATCAATCTTCAGCAAATACTTCTGAAAGGACATGTCATATGCAAAAAGGCAAACATGACCCGGCGCTTGCTACGTATCCTCATCCATGCGAAGAACCATGGTACCAGCTTTGCCTTGCACATGGAAGCGCTGTGCGACACGAGGAGGAAAATCAGGCAATGTCATGGTTAGTGCTTGCTCGACTGCCGTCCAGCTGGTCAATGATCCCAAGGACAAGGGTGTTGACACCAGTTGTGCCTCTGTTGCTCACTCACACAAAAAAGGCCCGAGAGCAGACGCATGCTTTGAATTTTTGCCAAGCATGTGTAAAGTGCGGCCTGTGTTTTTCCCATCATGATGCGGCCTGCCGCCATGGCCATTCCCTTTTCCGGTCAGCTGGACACTGGGCGCCGAGCGCCAATGACGAACCAATCCTTCTGTCTCCATGCAATGTCAATATCAACAAACCCGGCTTCCTCCAGGAGCCTGCAGTGTTCGTAGACTCCCGGATGTCCATGAACCACATGGTCACCAAGGAAAACGTGGCCGCCTGGTGCCAAGCTCAGGAGGATCCTCTTGAACATGCTCAGATAACCTTCGCGAATCTGTGCTGGCCCTCCACAGGGGCCCGATCCACAACAAGAACTGAGCACTGCAGAGTATCAGGGACCACAACAAGAACTGAGAACTTGTACTAGATAAATTCTTCTGCACAAGCACGCAACATGCTGCTACTACATGAAAGTTATGACAACATGGAGGGCGGAAAGAACTATCGAAAACGTACACAGATGTGCGGAAGTCTGCCAGGTCAGTCCTTCGCCAACTATCCTTCTACAGTTAAGGGTATCCCCTGATCTTGTGCAGGATGCAGCCTGTGCCAGCAGCAAGCCCATGCTTTTGCGCATAATGCGCCGCCGGGGCCACAATGTGCCGGACAGCTTGAAGCGCCAGGACGCAGTCGTACCCAGCTGAAACTGGGCAGGGACACTCAACTCATGTATTGTTCTTTGTTAGCCAAATAGGACTGTAGGCACGATTCACACCCAAATCCAAGATTTTACCTGCTTAATTCTCCTTCCGTTTGAATACTAGACTGGAAGAAGGCTTCCTCACAGGTGTAGGAGACACGTCTGTGCCATCTCCCCTGTCCCCTCAAGATTTTCCTGTCGATGCAACCACTTCGGGACAAGTCGAACCTGAACTAGCCTTGTTGCGGAAACACCTTGATGAGGCAGGTGCTCGGCAAGTGCTTTTAGGCATGCAAGTGTGTTAGGTGAATACTGCATGCAGGGAGGTTGAGACTTGAGAGCCGCCGTTTCACAAGGCATTCCTCTTACTGCTCTGAGGACCCCGAAGAAGCATCCATGCAAGCCTAATAAAAGCCTAACATTTAATTGCTGGTCCATCATGACAATGGAACTTTCAATTCAAGATCGCATCCATAATCATAAACCTTCATCCTGAACCTAGACCGAAAACCCTTAACCAACCCAAAAAAATCCCTTATCCCAAGCCCAACACCCTAAACATGCCTAAACCCTAAAACTGTTAAGCCTAACTTTAAGCCCATGTCTTCCCCATCAAGCCTGGGGTTCCTGGAAGTTGTTGAGTCTGCTGACTGCTCAAGGCCGACGCGATGAGGCGCGGCGGAGACACCTGCTTTGAACAAGGTTTAGAGTGTAAGCCTTGGTTTAGGACTTACAAGGATTTGAGGGTTGGAGATAGGTGCAAGGTTCCCTCTGCTTGAAAGATTTACAAGGAAAGGGTCCTGGAGAGAATCCATTCTGAACGATGGATGAGATGACATACAGTGTGCAGTGCTTTGAATGTCTATGTCAATATCTCAAGGTCCAGTGGCGATGTGGCCTACAGCACTCTACAGGGCTTTACAAGATCTCACATCCCCTAAGGCCTTTGAGAGGTTATATCAGGTTGGAAATGCGGGTCTCGGGGCAGAAATGACGTACCAAGCAACTCAACATGGTATCGATGGCCACCGTCTTTTCGGACTGTGCTTATTGTCAGTAAATTGGTCATGTCTGCCTAGCACCCCCCCAAATGACTGCTGGCTGAAAAACTCCTAGTATCCCCCAGAATGAGCCCTTAATAGGAACCCTCTAGGATCCCTATAGAATCCCTTCAAGAAGTTTAGACTACAGCTCATCTGTCTCTGGGGCAGATTCTCAAAACAGGGGTGCCTTTATCTGGATGAAAGGGAGTCCTTCTTGGGGATGATTTGAATTAGGGGGCCTTATGTGAGCTGTCTAAACGCCTTAGAAGAGGTTTAATATTGGGAGTATATAGGGATTATTTTAGGTGCTATTGATTAAGGAGGATACTAGGAATTCAGACTACAGCTCATGTACCCGAACAAAATAAGATCTTAGCTATATGTACCCTGAAAAAAAGGACCCGTCATCTTTTAGAAACCCCCATGCTGGGGGGATCATTTTGAAAAACACGTAAACCCTACACCCTGAACCCTGGGTCCTCAACCCTAAACCCCAAACCCCAAGCCTGAAAAAACCAAGCTCAAACCCCAAACCCTGAACCCCAAACCCTAAACCCCAAACCCTAAGCCTTAAACCCCAAACCCTAAGCCCTAACCCTATATACCCCTATATATCCCTATATAACCCTTATAAACCCCTTTAATCCCCTTTGAAGGGATACCCCTAATTTTGGGGGTTTAGACCTCTTCAGGCAGCGCCGTGGAGGACTCCCGGGCTCGCTGGAGCTTCACCAAGGCAGTGCTGAGCCGTCCCTGCGGTTCAGGGTTTAGGGTTTAGGGTGTGGGGGTTTGGGCTTTAGGGGGTTTTGGGGGTTTGGGGTTTGGGGTTCAGGGGTGTTGGGGATCTGGGGTTTCGGGGGTTTGGGGTTTAGGCTTCACGGCTCAGGGCTTCTGTCTCATCGAGGCTTTAGGGTTATAGAGGAATGTATGGAGACTTTTACCGCCGAAATGTAAAATCAACATGGAAAAGAAACTGCAAAATGTCATAGAAACTGGGCTTCATATAGAGAATGGTAGGATTAATGCGTCCTATAACTATGGTGGGGTATATAAGCGGTCCCCCTATCTATGGAAACGGACGCAAACTTGATTTGGGAGTGTTCGTTGTTTATTGTTTTGTTGTTTTTCCTGTTTGTTAGAAAGTCTCAGGCAAGAGCTCGATTTTTCGCTGAAAATTCTGGAAAGATAATAGAGAATCATGAACCATCATGAAAAATGTGAAACGTATGAAATACGATGAAAAGGACAATGAAAATCATCAAACACGATGGAAATGATAAAAAAAAAGAGATGAAATTCATAAAGAACGACGGAATATGTTGAAAATGATGGAATCTGATACAAGAAATCTGCAAGGTATGATGTTCGATGAAAATTCTGAAATTTAATGAATTATGATTAAAAATCATGAAACAATACGAAATGATAAAAATGATGAACTATAATGAAAGTGAGAAATTTGAAATGAGATGAACGATGGTGAAATCTGATAAGACATGTGAAAATTATGAAGCTTGATGAAAAATTGTGACATTTGATGGAAAATGATGAAAATTGTGAAAATGCTGAAACATGATGGAAAATCATAAAAGATGAAATATATTGAAATTTGGTGAAATATGATTTTTATGGGTACTGATGAAACATCATGAACATCATCGAGAATATGCTAAATCATGGAGACTGCTGAAGGATGATGGAAAATCATGAAACATGATGCATATGACGAAAAATTGTCACAACATGTGAACTTCAGAGAAATCATGAGATGATCTGAAATGAGGAAAAGTGGTCAAGCATGGACGGCCTTGAAAAAAGGCGGGGGGGGTTGGGGGGGGGAAGGAGCGGGGCGCAGGCCCCCCCCCAGCTGAAAACAAAATGATCTGTATAACCATCCCTTACTGCAAACATGGTGATGACATGACGCGCCTTTGCTGGCTAGCTTGGATGGCTTTGGAAAAAGAGGGTGGATGGGGGGGCTGCCCCCCCCCCCCATGTGCAAACAAAATGATCTGCGTGACCATCCCTGATTGCAAACATGGTGATGACATGATGCTGCTTTGTTACAGCAAGCATGGAAGGCCTTCGAAAAGGTGAGGGGTTGGGTTGGGCGCAGCCCCCTGCATCTTGCAAACAACAAGGATATGGAGAAAAATGAAGGAATGTACTTGTACTGAAAGATGACAAAGACTATGAAAACCCATGAGAAGCATGAAAGATGCGAAGGAGGATGCAGAACGATTACAAATATGAAATTGATGAACAGCCATGAAAGCTATTGAAAATGATGAAAAACATGGCAACTGCTGGAAGATGATGGAAAAAATGGAAAATGTTGACAGTGATGAAACATTGAGACACATGATGGAAAATAGCAAATACTAAGCAAATAGGAAGAAGAAGCAAGAAGCAAGAAACAATAATCGCAGATAGCAGCGATCGGGAAGCTGAGTGCAGTCAGAAACAGGAAGCTAAAAGCAGAAAGCAATGAGCACTCAGGAGATCGCAGGCAGCAAGAATCGGGAGGCAGAAAGCAAAAAGCAGAAAGCAAGGAACAAGAAGAAACTGGCAGAAAGCAACAAGAAGAAAAGAAAACCAGACGGCAACAAGCCGTATGGGGACAATAGAGAGCTCAAAGCAGCAAATAATCATAGTGATAATGCCAAATTCCTAAAAACAACAGGCCTCCTAGGGAAACTCCCAAGCAGCATGTGCGTACCCTTAAAACTTGCAACTTTGGGTTTGGGGTTAGAAATGCTCCAATCAAGGGCTGTATTGCATGGCTAAGGGATCTCCCTGACTGCAGCAGCAGATTTCATAATTCAGCAACCTTACCCTCGAATAGTAGGGAAAGCGGCGCCATAGTGGTCACAATGAAAAGTCCCATGACAATACCTATCATAGCCCCCATTCTCAGTTCCTCCATTCATGACTTGACTAAGACTGAACAAGCAACAACCCGCAAGACAAGCAGTCGGGCAATGGCCAAGGCAATGATAACAAGAGGTCTCAGCATGACAAGGAAACAACAGTTGGAACAGGACTGCCAGCAGTTTGAGTGCCATTGCGCCTCAAGCAAACAGTATTGCAATGACACTTCTTTGGTTTTGAGAACTGCTTTGAGCAGATTCAATGGCATCAGGCCTCATCAGGGTCGATCAGCGTTAGGTGAGCCCGGGGATATGCGGCAGCTACGGCCGCTGCAGACCGTCCAGTTCCAGCACCGACGTCTGCGACCTGCTTGCCAGAAAGCGGCGGCAAGGCGTAGACAAACTCGCCTGGCAGGCCGACAAAGGAGCCCTCTGTTTAGGGTTTAGGGATTGGAAGGAATGGAATAAATGGAAATTAATATGACGGGTTATATGGGGGTTTAGGGTTTAGGCTCTAAGCTTTGACTTCAATGGCTTCAAGTTGTACAAGCCGAGCTTCGCAAGCAGTCTTCACAAAGTGGAAGGCGGCGCGACATCTGCAAGTCATACCAGTCGTCATCGGCCCAGAAGCCCGAAGGCGGAACGAACAGCAAGTTGCCTCTCCTAAGTCCACTGGGCTAGAGAGGAGTCTTCCATCACACCTATTACGGCAGACCCTGACTTTTGCGCAACAAGGGTCCAGGAACCAGGACTGCAGGCCACCCCAGATGTGACTCCATGCAGTTCATGGCGATGGTACCTTCGCCTGCTACTTGCCAACTGTGAGATCACATCACATCATCCTGATGCTGTGACAGCCAACTCTAACAGCGTCCACCTCAACAACCACTCAGCGGTTGATCCAGCCAATGCCGCCAGCCCAACCCGTGCAGCCATGGCTGGAGAGCGAAATCGGCAGCCCTTCTTGCTGTCACACATGGAGGTACAGATCCCGACATGTAACTTCTTGGCCTGTCGTGATTCATGGGATGACCTTTCCAAGGCTGCACGATGGCTTCGGCAGCCAAATGGCTATGGCAAAGACTTAGATGAAGCTTTCCAAACATTTGGCGCCCAGTCTTGGCAACTTGGAGATGGGACTAGCCCCACCCATACCCAAAAAGAGTATTTCTTTCCAAGAACTAGTTGTGAGGCACCAGTTGGGAAAATATACTACTTTATCATGGGATCCCGCTCCGGCGCTGTTCATGGATGGTCACCCTGAATCCAGATTTCTTGGTCCCCTGGGAACGCCAACTTATCGGTAGCCATGTTTATGATGGTAGTCGAACCATATCTTCAAACCCAACCCCCACACCCGAGATCTGCTAATGCAAGCAGGCCACGGCGTTTCGGTGTCTGGATGCTGAGCTCCTGGTTCTCGGACCTGATGGCATCCCAGAAGTTCAGGGATGAGGCAAGGGGGTTTAGGGGATGCAGCGAACTGATGGAGCCGAGCTTCTAGAATTAAGCTGAATAAGACAATAATATGGCCCCTACATACCACCCAACACACCCCACATCCCTGTCAATCTTATCTTCCAAACATCCCTGTCAATTTTATCTTCCAGGCCTCGTACCTTCGGGCTATGCGACTGTGCGACTGCTAGTACAAGCCTTTGCTTCAAGAAGATGCTTTTCAAATAGCACACACTGTAACTTTCAGGAATGTTCATCGTAATGCTTCTGACAATCACAGGACAACGTGGGATGTGCTCGACATTTGTGGGTCCTTTTGGGTTGCTAATTCCAGCACAGCAGCAAATATGTGGGGGAACACCAATGGCATGGTACATAGCCCAACTTTGAAAACGACCCACGTGCTAGCACCAATGCCTCATGACATCCAAGCCCCTCTCGCAACGATGGGGTCATTATGATCTCATAGAATTAGCAAGAAGGAAGAAAACACTTTTGCAACAAGAGGATTCAGAGGTCTTTTACAGTGGGTAGTAATGAGTACTTCATCTTACCCTCCTCCAAAAAGGCTGTAGGAAGACTTTTGAAGGGAGGCTCTATGGGATTTCGTGTTAGTTTGGGGGAGTGTACTCCTTCTCGTTAGTATCTGTTTGGGAGAGTCACCTATACTACCCCCCTAGGTTCCCCGTTTCGTAGACTTAATATGCCCTGACTATCCGTAGACAATACTAATTTAGGGGGAACCTAGGGAGCTAGAATAGGAGGAAGTGATCTGATAGGGGAACTCATGAAGGAGGAGTCTTGCGGCTGCGCGGCTGTTCCACCACCTCTTCGCCATCCGAAGAGTAGAGGCAAAGAGCCAGCATTAGAGCCAAAAAGCCGAAGATGGGACCTTGCTATGACAGCTTCAGGGCGATAGCCTAATAATAGTCGTAGCCCCAACAACCGTCCTTGGAAGCGTCTTGAAGACGAACAAGCTGATTCTGAGCTCCGTGCCGAGCAGAAGGGATCGAAGCCCCAGTGCATAGTCACAATCTGCAACCATGGATACATGGTAAGTCGCCTAAATAAGGGGACCCCAATATAGACCCCAATATACTATAGTCCTTATTATAGGGACCCCCAAAAAGGTACCCCTAATTTTGGGAAACCCTAAATCCCCCTATCTACATTCTCTTGCTGGTGGGAGCATGGAAGGAAGGAGTTGGGAATAGGGGCTACTGTAGGGCTTACCACCGGGAAGTAGTGCCCTCATGGTGCGTCAGGGTTTGGATTTGGGTAACATAGGTTCGTGGTGCGCATGCAGCGGACTTGTGTTCGCGCGAGAGGAGCAGACTTGCAGGGCATTGGGGTCAGAAAGCAGTTGGGATCAAGGACCACTTCAGTCAGTGAAGTCAAACTGCTGCAGCTGGCAGCAATCCAAAAAATAATAGAATCCTAAAACTTCTTACAGGGATGCAATCACTTTTTATTCCGGATCTCGTCTTGTACTAGAACCAGCTAACAGCATCAAATGGTGCCGCTTTTAGTTTTACTTCAGCTACGCACAAGGACCGAAAGAGCAACAATCTAAGTACTTGTTTGACATGCCAACTGAGTGCCGTTCACATGCCTATCTGCGCACTGCAGAAAGAAAAGCTACCTGACCCAGCAGATTGAACTGACATTATGATGTTGCTTGGAACTTGCAGAGCTGGATCGAAGGGCAGGCCTGCATCACAGAACGGTACATCCGGAAGCTCCTCTTGATTGCACCCAGTCAGCCAACCAGGGATATAGGCTCCTGCCCACTTGAGCAAATGCAACACCATGGTGCAAAGCACTGCAAGGCCCCATACATTCTCTCCTCCTGCCATACCCAAGAGGTTGATTGGGATTTGGGCGATTGCAGATGCCGCCGAGGTCCGCTCTGGCCGCACCGCGGCCAGCATGAGGCCGAAGGCTCCGGGCAGCAGAGCTGCTCCCAACATGTTGAAAACCCAAAAGGAGCTCACAGCAAGCCAGAAAGTCGTTGAGAAGCAAGCTAACACTCCAAAAGCCATAGCCAGGGCAGCACCTGTCACGTGTCATGCCACGAGTCTCATACAGGCTTGGAAGACGTGCACAACTTCTTCAGAAGCACCCGCCTGCTGCAAGCATCTTCAGGTTGGTTCGTCCGGCATTACCCCTGTAGCCACCAATGCTGTCCACAGCGCTGCCTCCGAGAAAGACGCCAAACGTAGGAGCAGTCAATGTGATTACTGCCACCAGTGTCACCACCAGATTGTGCGCACTCTTCTGCACTTCACTGGCGCATGTTTCTGTTGGCGCGACCTCTTGCAGCCTGATTTGTTCCATGTAGGGCGTCGCCCAAAACTGTAGGCCTCCCGAAACAAAGAAAAGGGAGGACACGCAAAGGGTCATGAGCCCGTACACGGGAAGGTTTTCGACTGTTGTAGCCGCCGATGATGCGGATCGTCCAGGAACCAGATTGGCTGTTGGATCTTCAGTCTGCTGAACCTCTCGAGCCTCTGCATCATTGGCCCAATCCGCTTGACTCACAAAGCTCCCAGATGGAACTGAAACGAAGGAAAGTCGCACACGTGAATCTGTTCGGTGACGGCCACCAGCTGAAGTAGTGTTGCCGATGTGTTCCGGTGCCGTGCAGACGAGGCAGACAAACGTTGCTGCGAACCACACGAGATTTAGGCAGAAGCAGGTGACCCAATCTCTGGAATAGCCTGCATGGGCAAAGCCATAGCTTCTGGCTGCTCTGAAAAGTCTACAGTGCAGTCGAAAGCCAGCTACGAGGGTCCGCCAAGCAGCCTGCGACCGTATATCCGATGACCAGGCCCACGAGGGAGCTCGCCTGACCAAGCGCAACCTACAACCATCTCCAGCTTTGCAGGTACATGTGCATCGAGAGGGAAAGAGAGAGAGCTCCTGCTGAGGCTGTTTCATCTTTTACAGTACCTCGCTCATCTTTTACAAGGTACCCCCACAAAGGGGTCCGGGATTGAAGCCTTTTCCCCGCCTGCATGGCACCCAGCCAGGAAGCTGCCTGCTCCTTTGGAGCGTGCAGATCCACCCAGACGCTGCCGTACACGGCAATCCCAGCATGGCACATCCCCGAGATGGCCCTCAGTCCGAGCGGATGAGTTCAAGGGCTCAGTTGCAATCGAGGCTTGAGCGAGTTGCCGGGATGCAGTCAAGGAGCCGGGAAACCACGAACAAGTTGAAGGCAGAATCGCCGGACTCTTGCATCCATGGGCCCACCGCAAGACCGCAAACACCAAGCATGTTGCCGACCTCAGGCTCCGCAACGTACGCATGGTACGGGTACCATGCCGGCAACTCTGACTGCAAGCTTGCCTCAACGACACCTACTTCAGATGGACTCAGCCCAGCGCCAAGCATATGAGCAAGACGATTTTTACCTTGAGGAACTGGAACAGGCAGGGAATCAGCGGTGAGGCCAAAGGAAGCATGATGTACTCCTCAGAGTTCCATCAGGCAAAGTGTGTTCTAGGCCGGTGAGGCGCCGCACACTCAGCACGAGAAGGCATCGGCATGCAAGCAAGAGTACGATAACAACTGTAGCACAACAACAGCAACACAAACCAACTCAACAGTGAAGCTTTGTGAATCAAGCTGCCATTGCATTGATGTAGCCAATATCCTGGGTGCTGAAACCAAGGCCCTTCCGGAGATAGTCCTCAAAGGCAGCCAGGGCACCTGCGGATCAAGCTTCAACAAAGCCCTGTGGTCTCTTCCCGTGGCACTCTGCTTCAGATATCCCAGGAAGCATGGTGGGACTTGCGAGCTTGCTAGGCAAGGTTCCTTGGTGGCAGGCACCTGAGTCGAATTGAGCACAAGCTGAGAAGCCCGTGAAGAGCAGCAGGTATCTGAAGGGCGCTGCCATGGCCGCGTGGCTGCCGCTGGCAGATGGATTAGCTGAACTCTCTACCAAAGACACATGCCCAACATGTAGATGTAGACTCCACCTCACTGTCAATAGCCCCAACCTGGTAGAGGTCCGCTTTGGCTGCAAGTGCAGTACGTGCGATCCTTCATCAGAATCTTCCGTGAGAAATCTGACCAAATTCCACCAAAACCATCTTACGACTCTTTCGCAGTCTACCTATGCCCAGTGAGCGGAGCCTGCGAATGGAGCGGAACGGTTCGTAATAGCGATTTAGGGTTTAGGGCTTTAGGGTTTGAGGTTTAGGGGGAACTGAGCCGCAGCAGGCCCTGCTGAGTTCGGGTTGACCTGCATCTGGAGCCTGCATTTGCAGTGCATCTGTATTAATGGATGGGTCCTGAGGCTACCGAGAATATTAGCTTCCATGTTCTTTCCCATTCTCCCTACGTAACTTTTGCATCCTCCCTGAATCACCCCTATGTAATCCCTACATGAGGGCCAGAGCCATGCAGACCCTGAGCCACAGAAAAAAAAAATGGAGGGGAGCTCATGCAGAAGGCTGAAGCCCAAGACGCCAAACGAGCTGCTTCTTTCTTCACGTAGAGCACTTGCCTCAAGGTTTTGGCGGAAAACAGCTTTGTTTTCTGCTGCGATGCTCTGCAGACTGCTAACAGATCACAGCCTCTGCACCGAGGCCTACACACTCTCACTAAGCGTGCCTGGAGCATGCTGTCTGCAAGTGGTGAGACACACCGCATGCTGCAGGCAGCCAGCTGAATCTGGGTTATTTACAGGTGAGACAGAAACTATGGACAGCCATTGGCACCAAGCGATTTCGCTTCCACGCCATGCGGGTGGTGACAAGGCGATCAGAAGCGATCAATCGTTCGGGCCCACATCCTCTGATGTCCTCTTGCTGACGAGCCAAAATGACATGACATGCGCTCAACCACAGCTTCCCGCAGACCTAGATGCTGCCGCTGTCAACTGACCATGATGTATTGCTTGCCGTGAGATTCGGCAAATAAGGAGAACAACAGACTTTCTGCTGCCCGTGTCCTCAGGTCCATTGCAGATGTGCTCGCGTAGAAGCATGATCCCACTGCCTGGCTGGCCAGCAGGGACGGAAGCTGTCTTCCACAGATGTTTAGGGTTGTGAGGTTCTTGGGTTAGTGTTTAGAGGCTAAGCAGTTTAGAGGATTCACAGCTTAGAGATGTTTAGAGGTTTAAAGGCGCAGGGTTGAGGGCAGCCAATCTCAGGTAGCGCCACCTTGTCCACTCAATTTGGCAGCAAACGCAACGACCTAGCACAGGCAGCCTGCCCGATCGACACCAGCAGCGAGAAAAGCATGAGCAAGTTCACCTGGCAAGCGGAAGCTAAAAGCTACCAAAATGAAATTTGCGCATGGCTGGCGCATAGCTAGCAAAAGCAGTTCGAAAAAATCGTGTAGCTAAATAAGGCTCACCAACAGTCCTGCAAGTTGACGGTTTGCTCGCAGCTACCCCAAGCCCTCATCCCGCATCCTGGCAATCCATGATGAAGAAGAATTTCAGGCTGCATTGAACCTCAATCTTGCTTTGACCTCGCATACTGCCACATTATCTGGTCTTGAGCGCTGGACCACATCTTCACAAAAGCAGCGTGAAAATGAGGTAATCGACAAGGTGAACTCCTGGCAAGCACTTGCAAATAGCAATGCAAGGCCCCTTGCACAACTAATCCTGAAAGGATTCCTGAATTGAGCTCCGTTCATGAAGCAGAGAGGAAACGTAAGGACCAACCCTCTCCCTTACATGAGGGGCCTGTGTTTCCTGGCAGCTGATTGGCAGATAGTGCCGTCTGAGCACCTCACCGAAAATTCTCACTTGAAGCTCGAAGTCGCGCTTTTGATGCCTAATTAGTGGCCGAGCCGAGGGCCAAATGCAGCAATGCCAAATCGTTGAAATGGGCGAAGTTCGCAGCCTTGATGGTGTTCACCTCTGCAGAACCAAACGCCATCAAGTCAAGGCATGCGACACAGCCCTCTGTCGCTCTTCGCCCTTCACGGGATTGGAAGCTGAGGGACGATTACTATGCGAGGCTATCGAAATGCCTGTCAAACCTCTCCATTGCAGGGTTCTTATGGAACACAGAATTGTATGCTATAAGCCTGTAAACTTCAAAAAAAAACACCGCCTTGGTAGGGAATAAAGGAATGTGATCACCATATAACTCCCGAATAATGTATTACTGTATTTCCCACTATACCCCCAATATATATCCACTGGAATGTAGTAGCTTCCATTTCTCTTCCATAAACCCCAATATATTCCCTTGTTCCCTACTCACCCTAAACCTTACATATTCCCAGAATCCCTAGCTAATCCCTGTATAACCTCTATACAATCCATATATAATCCGTACATATATACAATACATATATATATATATGGAGGTATTCCCCTGTTCCTTACTAACCGTCCCAGTAGGTATGGAGACCGCATCATCTGAGCTCCAAGCAGGCATGGCTCGGCCGAGCCGCAGGTCGGAAGTGTCCTTTCTAACTTACTGGGGGTTAGTGGGGGACTGGGTTTGGGGTTAGTAGGGACTATGGGAATATATGGAGTTCAGGGTTTAGGGTTAATAGGGAGGAAGGGAATATGTATGGTTTGGGGTTTTTTGTTTAGGGTTTAGGGTTAGTGTTTAGGGTTAGTAGGGAATGTGGGTATATATGGGAGGTCGTATTCCCTTGTTCCCTACTAAGAACCAATAAGGTAAGGCAAGTCCAAGGGAGCAGCGCTACCCCCGCAGAAACTGACAGCAGTAAGACTGGTCGCAATAGTATCCGCATAAGCTGTTCCTCCTATTGGTGGGAAGAAGGGCTTAGATTAAAATTGGCAAGAACAATGATAGCAATGATGGTAATGATAGTAATGGTAGTAACCATAACAACAAAAAATGATAATGGTAGTAAGAATAGGGGCAGGAGGAATTGCAGTAGCAGTAGTGGCAGTAGTAGTAGTGGCAGCAGTAGCAGTAGCAGTAGCAGTAGCAGTAGCAGTAGCAGTAGCAGTAGCAGTAGCGGTAGCAGTAGTAGTAGTAGTAGCAGCAGCAGTAGTAGCAGTAGCAGTAGCAGTAGCAGTAGCAGTAGCA